ACAGAACTCTGACCACAGACCCTCAGGGGGATATATTATTAAAAATTAAAAGAACTTTATTAAATTTATTGGCAGTAGTATTTGTAGTAATTTTGAAAAAAATTGTGTATATTTTAGGACTGAGCATATGAGTCATATGTTGATGTTGTTGGGAGCTAGGTTCATATAATAATATTGTGAATAGAAATGCAAATAGGGAATGATGAAGGAAATGAAGAACTGTGTTGTTGAATTGGGATTGGGGTTATCAGTATAAACAGATTTTTTTTTTTTTAAGAAGTACTACATTTCTTAGCTCTGCCACTGAAAGATCCTAGAAACAAATTATACCCCAGTAGCAAGGAGCACACCAGGCATCCAGGTTTTGGTTTGTAAACACTGTCTTTCAGTAAAGCTCCTTGGTGAAATTGCTGATTCCGTGTCTAGGGCAGAGAAATTATAGGATTATCCTGGAATATCTTATGTCAGAAAATAAGGAAGTACTCAAAAACTGATGGACATGTTTAAAGAACACAAGAGTCATCTTGAAAGGATTCCCACTGACTACATTTGGGAAAATTAGAGCATCAAAATGAATAATGAAGGCCAGGCACGGTGGTTCACGTCTGTAATTCTAGCACTCTGGGAGGCTGAGGCAGGTGGATCGCTTGAGATCAGAAGTTCAAGACCAGCCTCAGCAAGAGCTAGACCTCATCTCTACAAAAAATAGAAAAATTAGCTGGGCGTGATGGCATGAACCTGTAGTCCCAGTTATTTGGGAGGCAGAGGCAGGAGGATTGCTTGAGCCCAGGATTTTGAGGTTGTGGTGAGTTATGAAAACTTCACTGCACTCTAGCCAGAGGCAGCAGAGCAAGACTCTGTCTCATAAAAAACAACAATGATAAGAATGAATTATAATACATTGATTTTTTTAAAAAAAGGACTTATGAATCCATACTGAAGTTCTTTTTACAGAATAATGCTAACTACTATATGTTAGAAGGAACTACATAAATTAAAAAATTGCTGGCTGCAGGCCGGGTGCGGTGGCTCACGCCTGTAATCCTAGCTCTTTGGGAGGC